ATGTATGGCAGAATCGCCTAAACGCACGGAAATTCACCCTAGTTGACACAAGATTCCCATAGTATACCGCCCCAGATGTCACCTGCAAGCTATTCAGCATTATATTACGTTCATTATACCAAAGACTACATTCCCAGAGGATATGATGAGCAGACTGTTCATAGTGAGAGTTAGGTGTTGAGCATTGACACAATGGTGACTCGACTAATTTAATTCATTTAGATTAGTCGAGTCACCATTGTTCATGAGGACATCGCATTGTAAGCGCCTTCGATACAGAATAATGACCAAGTCTTAGTTTAGTTGTACCTTGTGAAAAGTACGAAGAGATAAAGGAATAAATATTTTTAAAGCACCCCCGTGATTTTAATTTCAGCAACAGCATGGGCCACCATGCGTTGTCGAAAGCGCCAGATATATCTAAGAAAATAGCCAGCTCGTATTGAAATATTGACTCTGTGACAAACTTTCTAACCGATATAACAGCGTCAGTTGTCGATTTACCCAACGTAAATACCAATTGTCTATGATGAAATTTGACACCACCTGGCAGGAGCCGGGGCACTACAAGACGTTTTAAAAGCTTTCCTAACGATGGTAACAATGTAATTGGTCGGTAGGATTTAGGATCATCCGGTGGCTTGTCGCCACTTTTTGATATTATTACCGCACCGCCATATACGAGGAAATATTCCTTGAGCAATGCAACGTTTAAAGACAGTGAAAATCGTGTTACCCGAAAGTTTACAAGCCTCTTTAATCATTTTGTTAGATATTTTATCATCTCCCGAAGCCTTGTTTAGCGGCAAGGATCTAATGATACCGAGAAATTCGTCTGAAGATGGTAAATCAGACATTGAAGACAGTGGTGGTTCGATGGCCCACTGCCTGATCTGTCGGTGATGATCAGTGTCACTTTCCGGCCGATCGTCAGGTACGAGTGATTCTAAAAGATATTCTGCTGTTTCTTCTACTCCTGTGGTATATTTGTTATTAATTTACATGTTCTGTATGTATGCAAGGTTATCTATTTGCCTATTTTGCCTATATTGATCTATTTGCCTTAAATTCGTGATACAAAGGTGACCACGGGCTCTCTCTATCGAGTTTATCAACAAGTTTCTGAATGAAGTTTCCCTTGGATTTTTTCCACAGCAACTCTGCACCTGGCAACTCTAAGACCAATGAGAGCATTATTGTACAAATCTCCTGTTACGTTATGTTTTCTAATAGTGTTTAATTTTCTACGAGCTTTCCGGTAGCTTCTACGTAGTTCGGCTAATCTATCATTCCACCAATCACATCTACGAGTGTTAGTGACAGATCCGCGACCAATAGATACATCAGCGCAGTATGTGAAAGTTTCTGATAGTATTTCTGCGCTTTCCTCAGCTGATAAACTACTTCGACTGAAGTCTTTGGTATGAGTTGCAAAGAGTGAACCAAACAAAGCCCAGTTCGCACCTTTAGTTTTATATCTAAAATTATAAGGAGCCCTTTGTGGATCCTGTGCAACCCTTGGTATGAATTCGTAGACGATCAAGCGGTGATCACTACAGGATGCGTCCGGGAGGACACGCCATCCGGATATCGAGACGTCGCCGCGCGTAAGCGTCACGTCAATTCTATTGTCACCCATTGGGTTGCAAAAAGTTGGTGGTACATCGGGGGTATTGTGAATAGTAAGATTCATTTCCGCAATGAAATCTTTAACCGCACAACGTCGAACCGTGTCGGTTGAACGCAACTTGCCATACCATAATGAAGATGACGCGTTGACATCAGCGCCAATGATAATTTTATGTCCCACGAGGAACTGCAAGACGTAACGTAAGTGATGTGAGTGAGGATCAATAGGATGTGAATATTGAAAATAGCAGCTCACTACGTAAATCTTACAGGTAGAGAATGAGATCTCAGCAACGGCGCAGTGTGACGTCATAAGATTACGCTAAGATGTTACCGTAAAATTAGAACTTGCAACATATGTAAATTCCCAGCCTGCGAACGGCAGTCAAGCTGTACTACATTACGACGCAAGCGAGCGCTCTGATATTGTTCTTGTATAAGGACAATGTCTAACTTTTGTTCTAAAATTAAACGGTCTAATTCTGATGTAGCTATTTTATCGTTCTGAAGATTTAACTGGCCTACTGAAATATTATCTATTACTTAGTAAGTTACTCTATAAACTGTTTTTTTTTTTGAAGCTGAATTAAACTATTCAGTAATTGGTATTTAATATTAGCTGCTCCAGTTTTAATTTGTATGTGACACAGTCGTGTGAGCCGCATCGATGGTCAGATGGTTTATTGAACCGCCTGCACTGTGCGCACGTGGGCTTAAAATCTGATGTGTCTTTATGTGTATAAGCTCGCGTTTCGTGTGCGGCGGCGCAATTAGCACAAGTAGGGGTTTTAATGGTGCAAAACTTTTGTACATGACCGGATTGTTGACAATTTAAGCAACGAACTACTTCTATATCGTCTATGAATCTACAAGTGGCCCAGTATATATAAAGTTTATCTTTAGTGTTGGCTAGATGTATCCGAACTGCTGCCTCTAATTCTAAGCCTATCCATTGACGTCCATTTTCTAGTTCACGATGCCTAACAATTTTGGTTGACTTAATAAAATCGCTCACTTAATTTTAATTCGTCCTTGATATTCTGACGGTATAAGACTGTTAGGAAGGCACGATATTCCATAGAACCGGGTACGTCTTTTACAATTATACAGGGCATTCGGTCTTTCGGTTTTTCTAATCGTAACCCCTTCTGATTTAATGGCGTCTACAGATTCCAGTTTCTTAAGCTGCCGGTCGTTAGCTACACGTAACACGACGCCTGCCTTAGAGGTTTTTTAACGCATATAATTTGGAAACCCTCATCGCTCGGTTTAATAGCCTTCATAAGAGCTTGATTCGTTGCTGACGAGGTCGCATAGTCCGCTAAGCGTTCCGTAGTGGGATAGGCAGTAACACAAGGCCTAGGAACGCGCGCTTCAGTAGGTACCGGGCACGGGGCAGATTTAGGTGGTAAGCGAATCTTAAGTTTGTCCGCGTACGTTAAACTCGTTTGTTGAGTTGCGATACCCTCCATTTGTGGCTCAAAATTCGCTAACTTCGTTTCGTTGCTAAAGGATTTTATTGCTAACAGGGATACGATACCAGTGATTCGTTGAGTAATATCCATAATCGCCGTTTTATTACCTACATTCATCCGAGATCCCTGATCATTAACTAATTCATTAATTTTTGCTAAATAATCGGTGGCCTGTGACACTAAGTCACAGTAATTGTACTCTCCACAGTTATCACGACCGGTAGGAGACGAAACATTACCACTTAAGTCCGAATTAATAATGCGTTTACGTATAGGTACGGGCCCCGTGTGCCCCTTATAATAAAGACGGTACTGATTTTGGTATAGAATGAAACGGCACACTGGTCAAAGGTAAGCAAATGTTAGTGATGAAACGAACTTAAACGGGTGAATGCAGCGGATAAAATTCTCCACCAAAACTAAGTTAACACCTTTACTACCGCACTGATCAACATTAAGTTTTGCTTTCACATTCACATGAATAAAAAAGACAAAGTAACTCCACTAAAAAAAGAGTTTGTTACCGAGGAGCAGAATAATAACTTCAATGTCAATGTAGGTATGTGATATTTAATGTTGTAAATGAAGTCGGTTCAAATACAAGCTAAAGCTAAAAATTATTTTGCCTTCCTACATCCATCCCGATAAGAATTTGGTGTAGTTAATAATATCCCCGCTTATCAGAAAAGCGATAAAACAATTCTTAATGAGCTATATCTTAAAAGAAGACAATTTATAATAACATTAAGTGTACACTCGGCAAGTAAGAACGTACTGATCAAATAAGTTTTGTAATTACGTAAAAATAAAAAATATTGAAGTCTGCCATTCTAGGCAAGATTGAGATATATTTCTCAATATAAGTATATGTGATTATTTTTTCAAAAAAAATGGTGGCCTGGAATTTGCTGTTATTTGTGGTAAATAGTGCATTATTACAAAAGCATGTAATATTTACTTTTATTAGGTAGGGGGTTTCGAAGTGCAATGAAGTGTTTAAAATAATGTTATAGTAAGAGTTAAATGTTTAGGCACCAGTTATGTATGTATGTTAAAGTACATATAATTATGTTGTAATAAGCTTCTAGGTGGCACAGCATTGCGGATGGTGTTCCGGGCGATAGCAACTAAAAAATATTTACGATGGATGCTCCATTAAATTGTTGCAAAAAGTAAAGATCAACGTTTTTTTAAAACGTGTGTAAACTATGAAAAAGTAGATAAATTTGTGGGTGTGTTATATGTCCGATGGGTTAAGCACTGGTTGGATACTACCCGTACCTACTTACTTTTTTGTAAAAAAAATTGTGGACCAATTACAAGCTCTGAACGAGCTCGTTTCGAGTCTTGTAAGTCGATCAGACTTCACGAATTTACGCTCGGATCGTGATCCTTTAAAAAAAATACTGTACACGAATGATGTCTGATATATAAATTATTCATCATCAGCCTATTGCAGTCCACTGCTGGACATAGGCCTCTCCCATTGCACGCCACTTAGATCGATTTTGGGTTTCTTGCATCCAGCTCATAAATAATTGTCAAATAAAATAAATGAAACCTCAGTTGGTAAAAACTTATTTGTGTATAAATAAAATTATGACAATGTCAAGAAATAATCATCTTGTAAAGCTGTAGATGGCGACATAAGTAACAAAAATAGAAGTCGAACAAAGACTGATAAGTAGTGAAGTAAGATATTAACAATAATAATAATAGCCTTACACATCTCACACACGGCCGTCTGATCTTAAACTAGGCAGTGTCTGTACTATGGCAAATTGTGACTGTTGATGATGAAATATCTAAAAGATATTGCTGACGTATTTTTGCTAGTTTCTCAATAGGTTATATTTTATAACATCACTATATTTATCGTTACAGGCTTCTCTCAGCATGAGCACAAGTATCGCTTTTCCCACTAAAGGTAAGAAGGTGAAAATATCCCAATATGTTTATCTCAATGTAGCTTGCTTTAATTTATCTCATAAAGTTTTAAATATTTAAGAAATCATGAATAATTTAGTGAATTAGTAAATAGTGTTTTAGATTGATCATATTAATTTTGTTAATCGCAAAATATCCATATTTCGTTGATTGAGATATAATAATCCAAAATTTTAGCAAAATGTTATTTTGTTGAATCATTTGATACAATTTTGTTCAGCAGACTCCGAAATAATAATCCCTGATGAATGCAAAGGGCAGCGTTTATGCGGTACTAAGCCCGAAGGTTACGAACATCTCGAAAAGAAAATTAATGGCTCGCTACCAGATCTACCTGCAAAGGTGCGTAATTGAATTAAACAGCATCAATATTGTGTGATTAAATAATATTACGTTACTCCATCCAACTATAACAATAGGTCAAAAACACGAAGAAATACAATCTCATGAGATAATTATTCAAACATTTTATACCCATCAAAACATAAACAAAGTAAACGGTGTTATTACAAAATCTTATAGACCTCTTATTTATTTTATTTAAAAAGACAACTCCTTCACTAGGAATATATCCTGTGGCGCGGGGGATAATACAGATATACTACATAAAATGGACAGAAAGAACGGCCTTTTGAACAAAGAACACCCTACCAAATCGCTTACAATAATAATATTAGAACTCTATAAGTTTTGGTCCTATATATGGCAAAACTATGTTTCTCACAATAAAGAAACTAAATGGATTGAAACAGAGATATCGAATACTATTCTCATTTAAAAGATGAATTTTGAGTGTGTCGACGTAGCAACATTAAAAGAAGTGTTGAAAAAGTTACATAACTAGGAAACACTGGGTTCTGACTGCTTACATTATTATTGGTACAAGAAATTTACTCGTATTCACCCATACCTGCATAATCATATAAAACATTTCATAACACACCCTGATACAATACCTACTTATATTAAAAAAAGGCATTACATTCATGTTGCCAAGAGACACTAATGATTCTTCTAATCCAGCCAAGTACAGACCTATACTCGTAACTTGCCTACAAACTTTACATAAAATACTTACATTATGCATCAGTCTCTTACTTTACAGACATCTCGACACTAACCAAATATTGACAGAGGAACAAAAAAGCTGCAGAAAATTTAGTCAGGGTTGTAAAGAGCAAATAATTCGAGATTATGTAATACCGTATAATGTTCAGCGAAACAAGAAAGAGTTATGTAGTATGTTCATAGATTACAAAAAAGAATACGATTCCTTACCTCATACTTGGCTCATAAAGGTATTGGAAATATACAAAATTCACCCAGATTTAATCAGGTTTTTAGATACTATCATGAACCGATAAACAGCATGTCGCTACCGGCCATGGAGCGTACTACGGCGGTAGCGAGAGATCCACTCCGATGACTGCAGTGAGGGCCCGGCGCTGCTTCGCCCATGCGGGGCAGACCGCCAGCGTGTGCTGGGCCGAGTCCTCACTGCAGTCGCAGTGGTGGCAGGCGGGACTCAGTTCCCTAGTAGCGACCGAGTGCAGGTACTTTCCGAAGCAACCGTGCCCGGAGCATTACAATATACCTGACACAACCTTACTAGATAAAATTAATAAAACTGCACAAATTATAGACATCGTGTTATAGACAACTCACACAACCTATGCGCCTCTGCAAACATACCACTCTCGCTACAGTACCGCGGACAGCAACAACCAGAACGCATTATTGTACTGTACACGCTGTACGTGTAGAAAGTCTGGCAGCATGCACCAAATAGCCTTACTTTTTCAGTGGAGCGTGCAAATCTGCGAGCCAGCCTTAAACATATATTTTTATTGGAAGTATCAGTTAACTTAAAAAAACCCGGAGAATTTCAAGCTGAACTCGCTTTTCTACCATGTCGTATAAACATCTCCGATCCGCCGAAGAAAATCGGCAAGACGTGGAGTAAGATCACTGTGGTTGCCCTCTGCCCCATCCCGGGGTTATATGACATTAAATCAAGTCTCTCTCAGACAGAACTGATATTTGATTGTTTTTAAAGTTGCTGTATTTGATGTTAATTTCGACTTCATACCTCCACGTGTTCTTGAGAGAAAAAGATCTTGAGGTCAGAAGGCAGGACAGCGAAGAACCCTAAAAACTATTTATTTATCATAATTAAACTGCCAAAATATTGAATTTACAGGATCATGATGATAAAGAAGTGGGAACCGGCGTACAAAAACAAAGAAGATCGATCGACGTTGGAAAACAAAACTGCTTTGACGAAGTTAAGGTAAGTAGTAAAAGTAATCGCTATTATAAGAAGCTGCTATAAAACACAAATTGACTAATTTAACAGAAACGTCTATAAAATAAAATATAGAAAAATAAATTAGAGAATCTTTTATCTTAAGCAGTATTTTTACTAAGTGCCTTTTCAATGAATAAAGCATATATTTCAGCCTCCTAACGGGCAGCAACCCTGGATTTTTTTGAGGGACTTATTTTTTTAGTAAAGGGGACCAACGAGCAAATGGGTTACCTGATAGTAAGTGACTACCGCCGCCCATGACACCTGCAACTTATGGAACCTAAGTGCGAGTGTGAATGAAAATGTTAGAGTGCCCCCCTCTCCCTATAATTAAGGTGAGAAGATTAGGCCTCCTAACCTGAGACACTAGGTAAAAAGCAACTTAAAACCCATTTTCTCTGAAGTCATCATATTACTTCGGTCAAGTCGGTTCATGTGCGCCGAGCTATGTCTCTCCCACCACAAAAAAAAATATGTTGGCCCCTGTGATACTGGCCTAGTAACAAGTACCAGAGTTCCACAGTTTAACTCCAATATAATTTTAGCTTTTTTTTAACTTTTTTTTTAATAACTACAAAGAGAGACTTTTTTGACGTTTTTTTCAAAAAATAAGTGTAATTAATGAACAATATAACAAAGAAAGGATGTGAATCATCAAATATTAATTATCATTTCAGCAAGATCTACTTTACAATTACATGGCTAAAGATTCCGTGGATTCGATGGATAGCAATTTTGAACTCATAGCCACATGTCCAGAGTTAAGGCGATTCATTCAAATTGTTAAATGTGGGTCAGTAAATTTTATTCGCATTCAGTAAGATTATGTATTAATATAATACAAAAACAAAACTATTAAATTCAGACAATTGATTGGACAAAAGTATGTGCAATACTTCGTATGCTGCAAAGTAATCTAAAATTCTAATCCATACTTAAATTATAAATGTGAAAGTGAGTTTGTTTGTTTGTTACGCTTTCATGCCTAAAACACTAAACCGATGATTAAAATTGTTTCACCCATAGAAAGCTACATTATCAGCAAGTAACATAGGCTAATTTTTACTGCGATAACCGACACACACGGACGTACAAAAGCTAGTATATATAATAAATATGTGTCATTGTTTTGTTTACTCCTGGGTTTGGTGTTTTGTATAAATAAATATAATATTGGTATTGGTATTGGTTGTGGGCTCCGATTTCCGCATTTATACTCGAGGGTGGTCCTTTATGCATCGCCATGGCTGCCTCCTGCTGTATGAACAAGTCCAGGGGGGGCAGACCAAGAGCCACCTCTAGCGCGGCAGTTGGCGTTGTGCGCATACAGCCAGTGACCGTGGAGCATGGGAGTCGCTGGAATTGCTGCGATCTATTGATGGCGGTGCTTAACTCTGTTCTCTGCCACCAGACAACGGACACCATACGTGATTATTGGTCGAATGACTGTTTTGTAGAGCCATCGTGTAATGTTTGGTGATAGTCCCCAGCTTTTGCCGAGTAGCCGTTTGCATTGGCAGGAGACGATGCAGGCTTTGTTTAGTTTCTCTTCGAGGTGCCTATTCCACAAGTGTCTGTACAAGTACTGTCTGGTATAACTCCTAGATATGTGACCTCTTTGGCAAGAGTCAGTTGTGTCTGAAATAGTTTAGGAAGTTTGAGATTTCCTAGACTACGTTTGTTTGTGAACATGATCATCTCTGTTTTCGATGGGTTCTCTGTCAAGTTGTGTGTCAAACACCACTGTTCAACCATCTTCAGTTCGAGTCTCATTTGATCGGATATAACGCTCTCAAAAGGATCACTGATGAGGATAGTCAGATCGTCTGCATAGCCTATTGTGAGGAATCTACGGTTGTTGAGTTATGTGATTAATTCATTCACAACAATGTTCCAAGGAAGGGGGGAGAGTACACCGCCCCGGTCACTTCGATCACAGTAAATTGAATAGCTCTATATCTTGGCATACTGTCGATCAATCCTGAGATTGTGGAATCAACACTGTGTCTAGACAGAGCTAATGCTGGTGAAATTTGTTGTTTGACAATATCGATATAGGTGCCTAGTGTTGCTTTTTTGTGTTTTAGATTGCTCTTTATATGTGATGCTACTCGATGTAGAGCTGATTCTGTTGATTTGCCCATCGAGTATGCGTGTTGGTTATGGTGTAGTAGGTGACTGACTAACGCAGTGCTCCTAAATTCTGTATCCTTTAACCCTTTCAAGAACCTTTAATAAAAGGGATGTGAGACTGACAGGTCGGTGCCTTTGCCCGGTTTGGGGATGAAGACTACTTTAACTTCTTTCTATTTCAAGGGGAATATAATGGTGTGCCAAGCAGCCTCTGTAGATTAATAGAAGGTGATCTGGAAGCGTTACGTCACACCATTTTAGCAGGTCTGGGAAAATACCATCCAGTACTGGTGCCTTGAATGGAAGGAAGCTGTTGATTGCCCATCTAAGTTTATCGTGGTTTATTTTGGTAATGTTCAGCTTGGTTGACAGTAGGAACGATACAAATTCCTCACCTCTCTTGTTGTTGCTCCTTCTACTCTACAGTGCGTGAAGACCCTCACGCCGTGGTGTGCTAGCGCAGCCAGCTCCATAGTGAAGATACTTGCCTACTTGCCAGTCCGTCGCCCGGCAAGTAGGCTGATGCTATCACCACGTCAGGCAGGTCGGATGAGGGTTCCTTTAACCTAATAGTGGTAAGGGCAGTAGAACAGTGTACAGTCGTCTCGTCGCGACACTGGGTCTACGCAGATTGGGCAAAAGTCACCTAAGGGCAGATCTTTGGAGCTTTGGAGTAAGTTGTCGGAATTAGGATTAGACTTAGATACTTCATCTGGGCCTAAACCGGTACGAGGACCGAGTTGACAACGATTGAGGCGCCAGCGGGCGGACCACGATGGGGCTCATGAAATAAGAGAGTCTTCGTCTTATCCATGGCCGCTATAATCCAATCGTGCCCTATGTTCCACAGAAGGGGTCCCAGAACAGACCCCTGTGGAACACCGCACGAAATGGACCTACACCTCAGATTACCATCTCGGTCCTCGTACACGACGGTACGCTCCTCTAATTAGTCTGCCACTAGCCGCCTCAGGTACTTTGGCACCCCATGATAGTGGAGTGCTTCCCTGATGCAGCTGAATGGCAGACTATTGAATGCACACCGCCACAGATCACCGCCTCTTCGGTCACGGCCCTCTGGCGCAACACACCGCCGACCGTCGAACGCCTCGAATACCGAATTGGGCGTCCGCCAGATCGGGGCCAACAGGTGGCGGGCAATGCGGGCAGAGAGTACCCTCCCGAACAATTTACCCGCCTCGTCCAGCAACACGATGGTCTTTCCGTCATGTCCGACCAAGGAGGACATCGACAGGGGTGTGTATGTGTTAAAGGGCCCTCAACCAGTGTCTGCAGGAAGCGAGTTCCCTGGGGGCTGAAGGCGCAAAGACGGCGGACAGGTTTGCCGAGAAGCTGCGGGAAATATTCGCAGCCACGGATGGTGTTAAGATCGCTAGGCCTACCAAGTGCACAGAGCTGCGCATCTCAGGCCTGGACGACTCCGGGAGAAGACGGGGTGTAATGCGGACAACATCAGGGTCGGCACCATCAGCCTCGGTCCAGGAGGGCTTGGCGCTGTGTGGGTCAGATGTCCCGTAGCATCGGCTAAAAATTTTGGGTGACGCAGGGAAGCTGCTCATTGGTTTCGTGAACGCTAGGATTACAGTCCTGGCGGCGAGACCGAAGAGGTGTTTTAAATGATTGGCATCGGGACACACACACTTCGAGTGTGTAAGTTCTTTTGACTGTAGGGGACTATGTTTCCGCTGCGGTCGACCGTCGCACGAGGGGGCAGAATGCTGTGTTGCCCCTCACTGCTCGGCGTGTGCGGCGGTTAACAAGCCCGCCAATGACAAGATTGGCAGACCCCCCGCGCAGTCGACCGAGGCTGCCTTTGGCGTCGTTCGTGCGTCGTTACCGTCGTCCATGGAGTAGGTTGTAGAGAAGATCTAGTAATGGACTAAGTCTCCAACCTCCTTATTCAGGCGAACCTGAACCACTGAGCCGCGGCGCAGGATCTCCTCCTACAAACTATGGCACTGTAGTCAATCGGTGTGGCCATAGCCACGGAGTACTGTTATGTTCCTCCCCGATCAAACTAGTTGGGTGACCGGGACGGCTCCGTGGCAGTCGTCGGCTCTACGGCGGCTCATTCCCGGCCCTTGTCGCTAAGAGACAAGGGTTCTGGATATGTTGCTGCCCAGTGGGGGGGGGATCATTATATACGATGTACTAGCGTTTGGGCACGTCCTTGTGCTGGGGGACTTCAACGCAAAGTCCATTGCGTGGGGTTCTCCCAGGACGGAGGCCGTAGAGGAGTGGGCAGCCTCGACCCTGCGGTAGCAGGGGGGATCGATAGTGGACCTATCGTTCGCTACCGCTGTCTTTGCCGCACGAGTAAAGAACTGGCGTGTTCTGGAAGCTCTCGGATCACTTATATTACCGATTTAAGCTCTCCCGGACCCAGGACCCCAGTAGGGGGCTATAGCTAGACTGAACCCCTGTTCAGTCTAGCTACAGCCCCCTACTACTATAGGTAAACTAGGCAGAGCCTGTACAATGGTAATCAGACCGCTGATAAACATACTTATATATTTTTAAATACATACATATTGTAGATAAATTACACCCAGACACAGAACAAATGACCGTGCTTATCACACAATATTATAACCTATGACCTCCGGCTTAACAGTCAGGATCACTAAGGACTAAACCAACAGGCCCGCCCAAATATATTTAATTTATTTATACAGAACACCAGACAAATTTACTAAAATGGATACTAAAGCATGCCAAAATGCATTTGTGACCTGCTAATCGATCAAAACGTAAAGCTAAAAATGCTCATTTTCTAAGCAATCGTTTTCTTTTTTCTGTTCTACAGTCAGCTGCAATCACCCTTAAGTAATGACAGTAATGAGCAATGCTTCCAGAATTTACTGATACAAGCTTTCGATTTGAAATCCTCCTGTGAAACAATTATAGCAAGACGTACTCTAAACTTTTACAATGAAGATAAAACAAAAATGTATAGCAGAGTTTTTCATATACCTGTCGCTTGCAGTTGTGAGGTTTTTTACAAATCAAATCTTTAATTATACATAATTTGAAAAATTAATTACAATATTGTAAGGTTTTATAATCCTTAACAAGCGTTCCAGACGAGGGCGGGTCAAATGAGACCTGAGGTGGTGGCGCGGCTGCGACCCGAGAATATATAAAAAACATAACACTTTTTCCAGGCAGTATTAAGCTAGTGTTGTGTACCTATAGTTAACTGTAATTTCAATTTAGGTAACGTTTTTCTGTTATTTAATCCTGATTCTTGGTGGTTATAAGTTTATTTTGTCTCAAAATTATTTTTTAAATGTAAAGTTTTATTTTATAAAACAAAATGTTTGTATTACAATACATTCTTAGAGGTGTGTATAATTCAAATTAAACTAAACGAGTATACATGTATAGTTTGGCCAAACATGATTATATATTATATTTTCCTCTACAGATACAGCGGACTCCCTAAAAAGTTGTTTTAAACATGTTTATAACAACTTTTATAAATTTTTAATGACAAATGACAAAATTCTATTTTTGTTAAGTTACTACAAACTTATATGGTTTATTTCAGGTTTAGTTCAAAAATAGATTTTCGATTCTTTACTTAGTACTTATTTTGTATTATATTATTCTCCAGTACTGATCGTTCTCTATACAGCATTCGCTAGAAAATAGCTCACTATACAATTAAGTTAAATGCTACTGTGTTGTGAAATACTTTTTAATGTTATTTTTGTATTCAATAATATTTTAAATAATGAAAAAAAGTATTTTTCTTTATATGTATATAGACGTAAGAAAATAAATATAATTATACTGCCATTTTCTGCTATAATTATAGCCTTGAGTTATGTTTAATTAGATTTCTTGCGATCAATGAATCCAAGACCTTAAAAATTATGTCATAATCCTATGATTATGACATGTCATGAACGTATGTCCATGACAAAGTCACGCTGTCTCTTTCATTTTAATTGACCTAATACCTAACAGTACGAGTAGTAGGTATTTTCTCGTTAAGCGAATTGAAAGTAACACAGTATGGAACAAAATAAATTTATTTTCTTTCTTACTAAATTGAATAAGGCTATAAAACTGACTCACTATTACTTTTTAATATGGAAAGTGTTGTCCCTGTGGCGCTTCTTTAGTACATGCGACTGCTACGCCAGGTTTTCACGTATTCCCATTCAGTACAATGTTTTTATGCATTAATAATATACAGATCACTCCTATGTATACAAGGATAATAATGATTAAAGTAAATGTTTTGTAATACAATAACTTTGACGTTTAATAAAGAGACACTTTTTGAATTAACAGATGAAACATGCCATTTTATCATAGTGACTGAAGTTTGAGTAAACCTATTTTTTATTTCCCAGTGTTTGTTTAACTAAAAAGGGGTAATAAATACCATTGATGTAATTTAAAATAATTTATTACCTATTTTTTTTATTTACCTATTTATGTAATATATAAATACTTAAATTTATTACCTACTTAAAAATGTACCAGTCTTATTGTTTTTTTTTCTATTATGAAATTTTGTTAGTTTCTCTAAGTTGATACTTTAGATTAAAAAAATGAATTAATACTTGTCGTATCTACAGGTGCAACAGACAGGGATGCCAGACTTAGTTCTTGCTCTCTCCATTTTCCACTTGCCATCGTACCCGGGTTCCATGCTTAGAACCAAAAAGTCATAATTCACATATCTGTTTTGGCAATACATTTTGTATTTTAATACCATTGATTCTAAAAAGTGTTCGGTTCTGGTCTTCATTGATCCTTCTTGCCTGTAAGGAAAAGCAACATGTTTTTTTTAATTGTTCTACATGAAAACCTATTATATTATTATATACACATTATATTAAATGATTAAAAGTTGATAATGAAATTATATTAATGAAAATTGTATGAATATGGTGTTTTATTAAACTACAAACGGCCCGAAATAATAGTTACTGTCAAAAAGACCAATGCCATCGCAAAACCTGTGTTTTGCATTTGTGACTTCAATGAAAAAAGTACTTTAGGGTAAACACACAAAATAACTTATGGTGGTTTGATCAACCTAGTAATTAGAATGGATCCCCCATTTTTATAGGTGGGATAGGCGTAATTTTTATTCACACTCTGTTAAAAGTAGAAAGTACACTCCCAAAACGAGACATGCTCATTAAAGCAAACTAAACCGTATTGTAAAAATGCCATGATTCAAAGCAAGGTCTATGGTAGGAAAATATATGTACTTACTCGCACCACATAACGCTAAAACGCTGCTGGAATCTGCTTTCCATCTGCACAACTACTCTGTCTCTGCCATCCTCATCAACAATATAGTAGATAGGATCATTCTGTAAGAAATAACAAATGTTAGTTACCTATTAATGAAACCAAGGATATATTGTCAGCCTGCACTTTAGGGAACGTGCACTATATTTCCAAGTATATTAAGGTATTCTTTTCAAATTTTATTTATTTTGTATCCTTATCAATACTTTGATACATATTATGAAATGAACATTAGAAAAATATTTATCTTTTCTGTTATCGAGACAGTAACAACACTTAAAGTGTCAGGTAAATCCTTGTTCTATATGTAGTTAATATAAGTACTTCAATCATACAATTCAAGTGTACACGATGCTTTACGATACTACACATCAAATGACCTAGTGTCAGTTCATTTCACATCAACTCGCTCTCAATGGCGAGTTCGTTTGGCGTAGCGAATGGTGAAGATTTCAGCGCGGGCCAATTGCAACGCGGAACGCGTTTACCGTAACGATCATTGTAAGTCTCAGCGTATACTCACCCTGGACAAAGACTGGCAGTCATATTCATCTGATGAGTCTCCTTGACGGTCTGAGTATGTTCCGATCATCCCTACGTCATCCTCAGCTCCTACGACCTGAAAAAGTATAATTTAATGTTAAATGACATGCACGTTAAAATTATAGTAATTTTAGAACTCATTATTTATTAAGCAGTATCTCTTCGTGAACTAATGTTTTAACGTTAGGTGAAGCATATCAAGACTATTTTAGTAGTTGAAATTGTAATCCGTTTGTGACTGATTTTCTTCTTCCGTTCCTTTTATTGCGCCGTTCGATATTAACTTTTTAGTAATGGCATTTACTTATAATAGTATCATTTAAAGCACTCACCAAGCTCGTTGCATCCTTTAGGAGTTCTTCAACAATGTCGATGGGGTAGTTATCATCGTCGAAACAGAACTCCATGCCACTGCAAGATTTTGGCATTTCAACTGAAAGATATTTTTTTTAAATCTCAATTATTCATAGTAGCCTTTGTTGGTCGCTCATAATGTAGCTCTCCATTGTTGAAAGAATTTTAAAAATCAGGTAAGTTGTTAGAGCCTAACAAACAAACGAACAAACTCACTTTCACATTTAAAGTATAAGTATGGATTTTTCCAAAAGCATTTAAACAACTACTGGTTCCTATGGATTTGAATTTGAATTACTTTACTCTCAACTTTCACAATATAATGTAATTCCATCATCATAAGATAAATTATGTACGTAGAATTCCAAACAATTGTTTTAATATTTTCGATACTTTATACAAGTTGGATACTTACAAGTTCTCATTTTTGACGGATCGAAGAGTGTTCTTACTCGCCTTGCAGTTACAACTTCACAGATGACAGCCTGAAAAACAAGAATTTTTAGTATTCCAATAGAAAATATCGCCTTTTTGGTACAAATTAGTTAGTAAGGTAATCACGTGTATGCATAATGCTACAAAATAACATATATTTCAATAAGGGGTTAACAATCTTAACTGTAATTCAGTAGTTAATGAAGGTAATGTAATCGCTATCTACAAATTAAAATTAAAATTTATGATTTAAATGAAGTTTGAAGTCGGTAAACGTTTGATGCAACTTGTATTATCTATAAATCTAGTTATTTCTAAAAAATATATATCATTTAAAAAAAATATTTATCGTACTGTGTTACTTTTATTACATCAACATTAAATAATTAAACTTACCAGTAACATTGAAAGGAAGAATTTATTCATTTTGTTTTACGTTGAAATAATAACAAATTGTTATAATTAATTGATGAAACCGGTCGTCTTCACTTTGAATACATGAATATAGTGACTCGAAGAGGACGATACATTCTTATTTATAGGACCGCTGGCAATTTTTCCTTAAACTAGATTTATTACGTCATTTTATTACACGTATTGTGATTTTCTGTAGCTAACACCACAAATTCATGATACTCTAACCCATGATTATATTCTGATGCTTATAAATAGTCGCAAAATTAATACAGATAAAACTTCAAAGACATATTCTTATAAATTTCTTTATTGGAATTGTTGCGAAATTGTTTTAAGGAATTTGTCTTAATAAACGCCCGTTTCAGTCAGGCAATTTAACTACACGTATTATACTAAGTAATTATAGTGAAATAATTTACGGAGACAATAATTTTTGTCATGATGCTCTGAGACATACCTACCTTTAATGTTCTAATTTTGTTTTGTTTAATTAATGTATTAGTATAAGGTCTCTTTATGATGCATGAAATGTAATATCTATATTAGACCAATGTTGCGCAATACGTACCAGAAGCATATTGCGAATAATAATACGTCACAAAATGATTACATGAAACTATGGTGATGTTAATGCATCACTATAATTTAGTGTGATGTAATATCTTTTGCTCCAATATTAGGATTTAAAATTTTAGTATGTAAAATTTTTGTGATACAAACACCATTGATTCATTGATATGTTACCCATTGACACGCGTTACACAAAACACAATAAACAAACCTTGACCAAATCGTAGTGAAAATTTTCGTCCAATTGTATAAAAAAAGATCTGACGCTTAGTTTTAAAATCTGAGAATCTCCTAGTTTGTCTAGAATTACAAAAAAGGAAAGAGTGAGGACTGGCTGACTGAATTGAATTTGAAATGAAATGAAATGATATTTATTTTCGCAAGTAAATCTTTTCAGATATTTTTAGTAAGTCGAACTTTACAGCTAGAAGGCGCATTTTATAACACTCGCTCTGGGAAGAAAAGCCGAAACAAACCACAGAGGTGTATTTTTTTTTTAAAGTCCGTATACAATGTTAAAGAGAACTATGTAGTGAATGTTTGCTATCTTAAAGCAACGTGCATTTTATATATTTACACTACATTTATATAATAGATGTAAGATTAAGACTGGACATTGTTACAAAAATTCCCGGTAAGTCTTTCCTGGGAATTACCTTTATTCTCTACTTTCTTTTGAAAACCGTTACATACAATAATTCCCGGGACTTTCCGGTATATTAGGCTCGTTCGCGCACTACAGAGCCGACAAGTCATCGAATTGATACAAATTTTGAAGTAAACTGGATGTTTTGCTTTTGGTTGTACGCGACTGCCTATCGTATAGCAGACAAACTCTTATGTAGTACGGAAAAAACACGTCATGTACAGCTCGGAAAAGTAATCGAAACACATTGCATTTCCGTCCTGTGCATATTCGGCACGGGCACCATCTTCGGGTACATTCTCCATTTAGGCGACGTCCGGCACACGCGAACGTCCCCTCCTCGCGGCTGGCCGTTATGGCGGGTGGAGGGGAAAACCCGTCCCGTTCACCCGCGTCCACACTCAGGGCGGCATAAGGTGGACGTAAGCGCGCCTCCGCGAATCTGTCACTACCAGCCATAGAGCGTATGACGGCCGGTAGCGAGAGGTCCTCTCCGATGACTGCAATAAGGACCCTCGCTGCAACTTCCAAGTCTAGCAAATTGCCATGCTGCCGCCCTGCCCACTTAACGACATCTGGCTGGAGGGCCTCCACGACGACAAGGCTAGCACGTGGAGCCTCCAGCCGGGACGACATCGTGGCTCGGCGAACGGCTTCACGCCACTGGCGTATCTCTTCGGGCAGGGGCCGACTGCCACTATCTGCCCGGAACTCAGCCGTCCGCCGATATATTTCGGCGTGCACTTCCACCTCCAAATCCCACGGAGGTGTTCCGGCCAATGCGCACGCACGATGGAGGGGCCATCGAAACGGTGCGGTAACCGCGTATGGCTCTAGCCGCCAAGCACCCTATTCAAAGCGGTCAGAGCCACCGACCACACTGGTGCACCATACAGTCCCATTGACCGGACAACCCCTGTGTACAGGCGTCTCGTTGCTACGCTGGGTCCACCCAGATTATGAAAAAGTCGCCCAAGGGTAGACGCAGCGCCGATTAGCTTTGAAGCAAGCTGTCGGAAGTCCTCATCGAAAAGCCACCTCCCGTCGAGGATCACGCCCAGATAATATAAGAATAATAAGAAGACCTCCGTCCTATTCAGGGCTACAAGTAACTCAGTTGAGCATTACCAGAGAGACACCCCTGGTGGCCAGGCACGACGCCTCTTGAAAGTTTGCCCTCCGGGCTGTGACCAAAGTATCATCGGCGTAACAAATTACACCCAGCCTGGGGGGGAAAACAATTCCTAGGGCCCAGTCATACCCTATGTTCCACAGGAGGGGTCCAAGAACAGACCCCTGTGGAACAATGGAAATCTTTAGTAATAATAATAATATTGTTTATTTTAATTTAAAAACGTATTACAATATTCAATTACTTCTGCAACATTTTATCATATTACACTTTTTATTATAATTTAACAATTACATTACCATATCCTTTTTACAAAAATTAAAAAAAAAAAAAAAAAAAAATAACATGCAAAATTACAGTAACGATCATTTAATCAAATTAATTAAAATTACCTAGTGATTAGTTATTGTTATCAAAAATACTTAAGTAACATGACATAACAAACATGACAGGAACCCAAAGTATAGTCATAATAACTATACTTTAGGTTCCTGTCATGTTTTCACTGATCACATTTAGAAGAAACTTTGTTGCTTTGTATTTAAACGACCGTTTTGAAGTACAAGCACTTTCTATGTCTGTAGGTAAACTGTTATATATAGTTGGTACTAAATATTTATTGCATCTTTGGCCATAATAATTATGGCAAATGGGCACCTCAAAAGTCCTACAATATTTTGCACCTCGAGGCCTTAGTTGCACAGCCCTGACTTTGTACTCTTGGTGGCAGTAATGATCTAATGCTACTAATAGCGCTACCTTCTAATGCACTGGCAGGATTTTACACTCGACAAACAATTCCTCATAATTGGTTATTTTACACCGTAATTTTGTTTTATAGTTGTCTACTAACCTTTTCATAAATCTTGTTTGCAAGGCTTTAATCTTATCCAAGTACGTTTTAAACGTGCGTCCATAAAATGCCAGTCCATAGGAAAGCAGCGAATCTACCAGCGCATAGTAAACAACAAACAAAGTAGCCCTGTCCAGTGTCCTGTGCAAACATAAGTGTGTCGCCTTTTATTGGCATTATCGTAGATGGGGCACATTGTTCGCAGAAATAATGGCCAATAGAGCTTCAAGTACCGCAGAAAGATCGAGGGTAGACCCCCAAACAAGGTGGTCAGACAACCGGTGTTGGTCAGGGGAAGCAATTGGATGCGGGCAGCATAGGACCGCTTGTTCTGGCGAACCTTGAAGGAAGTCTATGTCCAGTAGTGGACGTCTTTCGGCTGAGATGATGATCGTGTAGCTAATAAATAATACAGTTAGTTTGATAACAACTGCTTTTTTTAACTCTAATTATGAATTATATTTTGCTATTTTTTTTTGTCAACGGGTATGGTCATCAAGCTTAGAAGGATAGAATGGTTAAGGTACGAATGGTCTACGTCCTTATGGACATCGACAACCACTTACTATTGGGCACATCCTACGTCTAGCACCTGTCAAATTAGTTTTATGAATACTTCTCTATCAGTTCTAAGTGCTACCGGGTAATAATTAATTAGTAATAAATAATTAATTTTACAATTAATTTATAAAAACCACAGGGGAAAACCAAATAAGCATCATCGGAGTCATGACGTTAATATTTCAGTTAGTGATGCTAATTAAATATGTCGAGCAGATAATAATAATGACGTTTATTAGTACAGGGTATCATATCATATACAGTAAAAATATAAACACATAACGTGTGCTAAATTGAATTTGAACATTGAATATTATTTGTTTCAGACAGATCAAAGCGTCAATAAGGTAAAAGTAACGTAGCTGTTTTGTTGAACTATAACAAACGGTGCTTCGCCTCAGCACGAAAAGATAGTAAGACTGCTTTGGAATACTTAAATGATTATTATTTGGTAGTATCATCTCTTAGGGTCATAGGACATATTATGAGCTTATCCGAGGCGAGGCTATTACGTTACGAGTGTACACGGTTCGAGTAGATACGGTGACGATCCCTTTCTGCCTTGGTATTTGTGCTACTTCAGAAAGTTTCCTTTATATGGCATACCAAAGAGCGCTAACGCAAATCGCGCTACAATATATATGCATATATATAATATGATTCACCCATTCCTAGAACTCCTGCTATCTTCTCCAGCTAAGATAAAGGCCTGTGTTAGAATTGTGCTTACGTTTGGAGGCGGAAGTGGTCGCCGAAGTATATCGGTGGACGACTAAGTTCCAGGTGGATAGCGAGCCACGATGGCTCGTTGGTCGTCCCGGCTGGACGCTCCACGTGCTGGTTTTGCCGCCGTGGAGGCGCTCCAGCCGGTCATCGTCAATTGGGCAGGGCGGACCCTTTCTTACCGGCTAACCCGGGCCCTGGCAGGTCCTTTCTGGGCACGGCTGCTTCGGGAAGTACCTGCACTCGATCGCTAGGAGGGAACTGAGTCCCGCCTATCATCACTGCGATTGCAGTGAGGACTCGTCTCAGCGAGTGAGTTAGTGAGAACTCACTAGTGAGTTTGAACCCGCAGTCTTCCACAAGTAACACACAAGTAAATACTCACCGGGTGTTTGATATCAATTATAAGTCAAAGGTGACACGATACTGTTATTAAGAAGCAAATCAAAAGTACACACTTGCAGCTTGACGCAAAGACATCGACATTCACAACAATCTAAAAGCAAATTCATAAAAGTTACCGTCGAAGTTACTACATTCAAATATTTAATTTACCTTATTTTATCACGATGACAGCAAATAAGTACTTGACGATAATTATTTTGTTGTTTTTCAATTTATATTATGTGTTTAAACTTTTCAAGATGGTTTGCGATACTTATTGTAATAAAATTCTTTTAAGTCTAATAATCTTACATGGAAGCACCTTATATTATGTAAATATAGACTAGGCTATTAACAGAAATAAAGAAGAAAATCGAAAATCATTGAAAATATTGAAAAAATCATCATTCATCAGTCTTTTCTTTAGTTTTTCTCAATTTTAAGCGGTTTGACGATAACTAAACCACCAAGTTTTATAGGCAATTTTAAAGAAGACATTTTAATCATTAAAATGACCACTTAGAGACCTCCGAAATTTAAAAAAACATCGAGAGTTCGTGAAAGATAATATTTTTGTAGAAAATTCAGGATTATTTGATACCTGGAAAAACATACTTTTACAAATGTTCATGTAATTTAAATCATTTATACGCGAGAAAATTGACGGTTAATTTTAAGGTTATGTCAAAGAGTGTTAAGAACCAGTTTTAGATTTTTTTATTATCTACAACGTTTTCCGATAGGAGGTCACGTTTCACCGCAAATTGCAAAAAACCGTTTTCAACCCCTAAACTGCATCCCCATTTCACCATTTTAAATGTTTGTCTCAACAAGATTTTCCACCTGGTTCTTGCCTGTTTTTCTTTTTTCACAATATATATAGGCATCAGCCTAATATTTGTTCTTGCAATGGAAGACTAGGAAGACCAAATAGTATGAGAGGACGATCAATATTTCATTTATATGTTCAGATTCTTTACGTGGGGCATACTAAAAGTATCTGGATTTGGCCACTTACAATAAAAAACTGAAAAAACAATTAAGGAATTTCGGAAATCTTTGGGAATAGCTTACTTTTTAATTTGCGATACTATTACGCATTTGCTTTTTCATTGTAACGTCCTTTCTAAAATTGTGTGTCGCTAACAAAATGAATTTAACTCGTGAACATTTTTTATAATTTTCGTTGTGGCTTAAGTCAGCAGAGACTAGAGAGTTGCCAGAGACTTAAATTGGCATTTGGTGATGAAGCACCATGTCGCTCTGTGTATTCGTGGTTTGGATAATTCAGACATAGACGTGATCATCTCCATGATGAGGTACGTGAAGGTCGGCCGGCGACTGCTGTTACATACTCTAATATTGACACCGTACGACAACTTATTAAAACTGACAAAAAAATACTTGCCATCAAATTTATGCTTTGTTAGGCATTATAATGAGCCAAGTGCAAAACATTTTACATTTGCACCTGAAGGTTCGAAAGCTTTGCACTCGATGGATATCGCATGACTTAACGGAGGACAGCAATATCCTACTTGACAACGATAACACATCCTCACATTCCGCTAAGGTAACAGAAGACTATTTGAAGGCTTCAAATGTCGAACTGATGACACATCCGCCTTACAGCCTGGACCTCGCATCCTGCTACTTCTTTTTGCTTCAAAACATTAAGGACAAACTTAGAGGCATACGTTTTATGAGCCCTGAATCGGCGGTGAATGCGTTACATGAAGCCATTGAAGAGGTCCCTAAGTAAGACTGGTCGAACTGCTTTGGACAGTGATTTTAGCGCATGCAAAAATGCATTAATTACGAGGGAATATACTTAGAGCATATTCCCGCGTTGCTTTAGGTGCGCAGTGGGGGGCAAGCCTGCCACCGGGTTGGCAGTAAGGCCTGCGTCGAGTCAGGGCTGAAGCCGGGGGGCCGGTCTTCTGCCCCTAAGTCGTCGAAGATCTGTAGTCGAGTCCAACCTTTTCAGTGCTACGAAGAACCAAGTTTTAGAAAAAAGGGACTGGTAATTCTTTTGAATATAATAAAGTACACGCCATTTGATGCTTCTTCGTATATTTATTATTAAAATTGAATATCCAATCACAAACAGTCTTACGATTATGTGCCTCAGCTAGTTTAATAATACTAGCCAAGATTTTTTATACAATCAGCATTATATTCTACTATAGTTTGTTGCTATTATTAAACCACTTACAACTTAGTATAATATAAGATATACTTTTATATAATATAGCATAATAATTTAATATAAACTTGTCATGAATATCACTTAAAGTCATAAAAAGTTAACTTTATTAGCTCGCTTAGAATGTATGCAATAAATATAGTTTAGATTAGTTCTTCTTTTTTCTGTGTTAACCAAACTTATAGTTTAACTTTTAATTGCTTCAATTCTCTCAATGATAAGAAACCATGCAGCTACACGTGACTGGTATTCTTAAAAGTTTTTCAATAATTCCTGTTCTATTCTTGTTGAAGACAAACAAAGGACGTGTCGCCCAAATAGTCTGGCATATAGATTTCAAGTCGTTAGTCTTGATGCCCAAATGCTGAAAGCATTGCTCATTGCTGTCGGCGCTTAAAGGTGGTTGCAGTTTTCTACAAAATAAAAAACATTGTAGAGAAGAATTTCCCTTAAATATAAAACAAAATTTGCGTCACGAGTTCAAAAAGACATTTGAAAACACAGGACTCTTGTAAAGATGTGTAGAGTTTTTTCTTAATGATAGATCGCATGGAATTTTTAATGCTAAACTAACCTACCCATTTCATTAGCACCTGCCCAGCTGTAGAGGAATTTTATACAGATAGACACGAATGTAGTCCAAGCACCACACATGTTAACTTACCGGCATTTAACTACTTCAATGTTTTGTATGAATTTTTCATTTTGGACCAGGATTTCGTAATTGCTTAGGTTTGATTCATTATAGAAATATGTGTACGTGAAACCTTGTTCCTGAAAAAAAATATTTATGTTAGAAATGGTCCCTATTTCATTTCTAAGTCAGTATAGACTATTATAGAAAAATAAGAACGGATTTAAATTACACAATATTTGATCTTTATCCGACTTCAAAAAAGGAGGAGGTTCTATGTTCCACTGTATTTTTTTTTTTTATGTATGTTCATCGATTACTTCGTCAATTGTGAACCGATTTTCAAAATTCTTTTTGTAATCGAAAGGGTATGCTCCCGAATTGGTTCCATTACCACCAATTCAGGATCTGATGATGGAATCTTAGAGAAATCGAGGGAAACCCTCACAATTATTGGGAATTTGACAGCCCCGACACCGTGTTTTAGCTACGAGTATTTCTTTAGCGAAACAAACCATGGCAACCGTCAGAGACTGCGCGTTGTGATGCGCAGAGAACTTGCAGTACTTATGTCCCCACAGTAATTTTCGTTGTATTAAGAAGAAAAGGTTGAAATTTTGTATTCTATCTTGTTAAAATAATTCGGATAGACGTATTGTTGCTATGGATGGCATCGCATTTCGTTTGTAAGTAATGTTATACTTAATTTATTAAAATAGTTCTGGAAAAGACTCTTAAATTTTGTGTGGGTCAACTTTCTAAGGAGAGGCCTATGTCCAGCAGTAATTTAATATAATATTTAATATAATCTAACAAACTACAGTTTGTTACTATACATTACGGTACGTAGTGTTTTAAATATCGTACTTATCTACTCATTACAAACATATCCCACACTTAAAATGGTAAAATAAACCCTTTAAAAAAAAAAGTTGAACCGACTTCAAACAACACTAACATAGAGCACTAAAAATTAAAAAATAATTACAAATCTTAGTAAAAAACTATAATAAGTACCCTCAATGTAACAGTCAACATTATAATACCAATAGTCCCTTCTAGTCTGTTTGAAGTCGGTGCCAAGCTCGATGCACAATAAGTAATACTGGTCTATGTCAGCTTTATATTAGCACAATGAAAAATTAAGAATTCAAAATAATTCTAATGAAACATCGAAGATTTTGTTAATTAATAAAGACCAACCAGATAAATTACGTGCGCAAACTTATCAACTACTTATTAAAGCATTCAAAATAATAATATAATTGGAGATGTGCGTCCACTTTAGCTCGTTCAACATGTTTTGCGCAGCATGAAGACTGTTGCAGCTGCCGCGCTACATTCTACCATGCCTATCAAGCACCTATTTGGCTTGGCACCGACTTCAAACAGACTAGAAGGGACTATTGGTATTATAATGTTACCTGTTACATTGAGGGTACTTATTATAGTTTTTTAATAAGATTTGTAATTATTTTTTAATTTTTAGTGCTCTTTGTCAGTGTTGTTTGAAGTCGGTTCAACTTTTTTTTTTTAAAAGGGTTTATATTTTTATTAATATTGCTATTTTTTTCTTAAAATTTTAAGGAGACCAAACGAGAAGTATTTCCTCCCACATGAAGAAAATAATTTTCTAAATCGTCTCATTAATCCAAAGAAAACAAACAAAAAAAAAACAGCCGAAATCACAAGGTCCTCCTTTTCAAAGTCGGTTAAAACCGTAATTCAGATATTTTGTGGTTTTTACCGTAGACTTGAATCATGATACGAAGCGTATCATTCTCTGTCTAACTCGTAAATGCATTCGACTAAAGGAATGAAGTAAAAAAACATTTTTATAGTTAACTACCATTTCATTATCTAAAAACAATTGCTTTACCATTTCTTCCTGGCAGTTATGACTATGTTTCTCGATTTCTCCTATTCTTGGCTGCAGATCCATCTTAGTAACATTACCGGCATTCTGAAAAAAAAAAAATTATTAATATTTTAATATTGATACACATATTACATACAATTCTTGTATATATATTTATGAAAGTTAGGATGCAGGGGGTTTCGGAGGCGATTAATCGATCTAGCTAGGTTTCTTTTTTAGAAAAATTACCAAAAAAAAATACCGAGCAAAGCCCGGTCATCCAGGTACTAAATCTTTATGATTGTTCAAGGTTGCTGAAAGGTGTATACTTTGGAATCTGACTTTACTGAGTTGAGTCGTCTCAAAACGATTTTTTTCCTTTACTAACTTAATAAGAAACTTCGGTAAGTATTGATTATAAACAAAATTAAATCAAACTCTGAAATGCATTAATAAATCTAAAATGTAATAATCGAACAACGATACGGATTGGATTTTTGGCCATCATAATCGTATGAAGCTGTGATTAGCGACTAGTGGATACATCCTCATCTAACAAAATAAAGGTGTTTAAACCAGTAAATTAACTGAATAAAATAAGCATTTGGAAAGTTTTGATATAAATGAGTAAACAATATATGTGATTGAAGCCTTCTTTATTATTACTTCTTGTTTAAATTCTGCGTTTAAAGTAGATATTTAATGTAATTGCTAGTGATTTTCTTGTCTATCTAACATCGGTGGGCACAGACGATTGAGACCAAGGAAGAGACTAGTGCGGTAAACTTGGACATAGCGAAGGACCTATAATCACGTCTGGCATACGAAGTTCCCTTGATAGAAGCATTAAGGTCGTTGTCGACGATGCATGTTCCGACTTGAAATCTGTAAATGCCCCGCATATTAATGACATGTTGCAAACTAGTAACATCCATTGCCAACGTCATCGAGAGTCGAAACAGACTTGTGTCTGAAATTGAATTTTCCATCAAATCTGGTCTATTTTAACCCAAAAAAGACACAGACACCGTAAAAAAGATACCGTTTGGCGTATCACCTCGGTTTAATAGCACCTCTCTAACTGCCTTAGCCAGTATCGGAATTCTAGAAATCGACATATCGAGCGATGCCTAGGTTTCGGGTAACTTGGAGGGTAAAGTTAAATTAGCCTCGAAGAAGTTCGGTGTGCTGAACAGATCGAGGCAGTATTTCATTCCGGCGCACCGCCTCCAAGTCCAGTGGCATATGGAATGCTGTTGTCATCTCTATGCGGGGACGCCCCAGTACCATCTTCTCATTCTGAACCGCACCCAACAAAGAGCGACTAGGATCGTCGATAACCAAAAGATTTCCGATCGGCGTAACGTAGAGATGTAAAATAACACTGCATTCTCTTTCGTATATATCATGGAGAGTGCTCCTTCCTAAAAGACTGGCAAATCTCTTGTGACTTCTGCTTTGTAGGCGTTTATGGGCAGCGGTAGCCACTTCCTACCAGGTGACCCGTCTCCTCGTTTGCCTCTACTTCCATTAAAAAAAGCTGGCTATTTTCAATAGTATTTATCTATACAAATGTATAAAAAACAAATGTTCTTTACATACCTTCACGAGATATTTGGGGAGCCAACTTTCAATCTTGGCTTCCAGGTGGTGGTATCCCTCTGGTTTGATGGTACATAAATGCTGACCTTTACACTCATCTGGGATTTTAATAATTGAGTCTGCATCTGGGATAATAAACACAGCTCGAGTTAAAGAGTAAGACTTTGGCCTGATAAGACTAGCTTATCCAGGTTACAGAAATCCATATTATTTTTACCTGGCTAGCAGGCGATGTGCTAGTTGGCCGTTGAAAATAATCCAGACAGAAAATTACTAGTAGTGTTAGTTTTTGTCGTGTGTACATAATAATACATGTATTAACAAATATACATGTATTAACAAAGGGCATTTTTCTTTGAAAGTATAAAAAAAATATCATCTGCGTCATCACTTAAGTACTGATTAGTAAAATAGTGACAACAAGTTTTGAATAATGTTTGAGTTATTTATTTTATCTTTGGAATTTAGAATAACAACAACATGAAATACATACAATTATTCATTAACTGCTGTAACTACAACTACAAATACTATCATACATTTTGTCATACATTTTTTAATTAAATTTTAATTGTGTTTTATTTACCTTTAACGGAGGCATCACAGCTGGTTGATAAAAAGAGAGCCATCTGCAATAATAAAATAAATATGAAAAAGTTCCAGGTATTGCCTCTTGAAATAAACCTAAAGATAATTACGTTTAAAACATAACTTAACTAGGACGTCCCTATGTTTTTATTTTATGAGATACTATTTTATCTATAGTATTTTAAAATATTTACCGCGCACAATACTGATTTACACAGGAACATTTTATAAGTAGATAATAATATCACTGTATAACTGTAATTATGTTATTCAACGTATCGATCGTAACGATCAATCAACACACAACTGAAACCGCTGGGTCAACTAGCATGAAATTTTGCACAAATGTTCCTTAGGTGACGTAGGTGTGCACTAAGAAAGGATTTTTAAAAATGCCTTCCCTAAGGGTGCAAAATACTTTTTATCTATACTAATATTAAAAAGTGGTAAAGTTTGTGAGTTTGTATGTTCGGGGTAATCTCAGAAACTACTGGTTCGATTTGAAAAATCTTTTAATGTTGGATAGCCCTTATGTCGAGGAAGGATAACATCATACTACGATCAATAAGAGCCGAGTATCAATGATGATGATGAGAGAAGCAGGCAAAGTTGCGCAGGTGAGCTAGTATTTTACATAATCCTGTGATGTGACACGATTTATAGTTGGCCGCACATAGGCAACTCATTTTATAATAACACATTAATGAAAAACTTTGGTATTGTATACATCACTATGTATACAATACCTATCAATTTTTTCCGAACCGTAAAAGTTGCGATCTTCACCGTAATATTAAACATCAAGATTTAAATCTAAAAGATTTAGGAAAAGCTAAAGCAACTTGTAGGTCTAGAAGGTTTGAAAACAGATACGGTCCTTCCAAGAACGATTCCAAAACATTTAATTGCGTTATGTTAGTGATTTCAATTACGAGTGAGCCATGCATAAGTACATATAGGCCGGCTCGGATACCACGGTCTCGCAGAAAACCAATGCTTAGCTCTTTTTTCGTTGCTTCACTGAGTAGCTGCGGTTACTGGCGGCTCATCTAATTTATTACCTCTCCCTTATTCTGGTGGCAAAAAACTTCTATCTATATGTATCTCTTGACTTGGCAGGTGTACATTGGCAGTGGCAGTCATTAACCATCAGGTGAACGGTCTGCTCTTTTGCCCCCATACCACACTAAAAAAAGGAATCACGCAAACTGAGAAGTTAATGAAATTCAGTCAACAAATTAGTCGAGGGGGTAGACTATCATGATCTCAAGGGTATTACAAATCTTAAAGGAATCTTGGATCTATGCCTACGATCCTGATTCCAAACAACAATCTACAATCTGGGTCTTTCAAGACGAACCAAAGCCGACTAAAGTTGTTCGTTCTCGAAGCACTTCAAAGAAGATGGTGGCCACGTTCGTTGAAACAACCGGCCATGTTGCGACTATTGCACTTGAAGATCGTAGAACGGTTAACTCAGAGTGGTATACCACAGTTTGTTTACCACAAGTCATTGCCGAACTTCAAAAATCTAACTCAAAGCGACGCATCATCCTGCACCACGACAACGCGAGCTCACACAGCGCTCGTCAAACGATTGAGTATTTGAAGCAAGAAAAAGTAGAAATTCTTGACCATCCTCCATACAGTCCTTTTTTTTTTTCCTGTCAGTCCTGACCTAAGCCCTAACGATTTCTTTACATTTCCTAAAATTAAGAAAAGTCTTCGTGGTCAAAGGTTCCAGTCCGGTGAATAAGCAGTCGACGCTTTCAAGTCAGCCATTTTGAACACCCCCACTTTAGAGTTGAATAAATGTTTTAATAACTGGTTTGAGCTAATGGAAAAGTGTATTAAGCTACGTTGTGAATACTTTGAAAAAACAATAAAAAGTACTATAAGGTTCTAGTTGTGTTTTTTTCTTCAAACGACAAAACTTAAAAGGCATGCCTCGTTGTAGGCCTTTTCCATTGCATGCCACTTCTTTGTTGGGTCTGCATAGCAAGGTTTTGCCCTTTAATCGTCACGCTGGGCGGCGGGTAGCTCATCGCACCGATGACGCAGCTGCCCGTCCCCGGCCTGATGGATATAGCGCCATTGGTCAGCCAGAGCCTCGTTCATCGTTCAGCAGGATGCACCGCGTTGGTTTGGGGCGAAATATGGTGGTTCGCCAACTCACAACCCTGACATTAAGATAATGAAAATATTTGTTTTGTATGGTATGGGTGCAAAGGAACACACAGTTTACTAGTTTTAATAGAATTATGAAATCTACGGCTCTTCGCACTAATTTTGCATCTAAATCGGTTTTCATAAAACTGTGAAGCTTGCTTTTCTCTAAAAAAATTAAGTAACTTTTTTTTAAATAAGTTAAAAATAGCAATAAATAGCACTTGTGTTATTTGTTGTTATTTTACTAACATTATAATACATATTACACTATTATACTAATGAACTTTGGTAATGCATTCGACAAGACTTCTTTAACCCCATCGTTAAAGATCTATAGTTAGAACCTTTTTTCACACTTCTTCAAAATTCTAAACAAAATGTTTATGAATGTATTTCCAGCTGGATGGTATATTGCCAAAAAAAATTAACACTTCAAGTTAATAGTAGTGAATAGATGATTTTAACATAATCTGAATTAATCTATTTCCATGATACTTATTTTAAATACATTATACTACATCACATCTTTAATGCCAAGGGTATGTGCAAATAATTTTTGCTAATGTCTTATAACCTAGGAAATATGACACAAAAAAGGAGGGCAATTCTCGTAATAAAAATTTGTTCAAAATACAGTTCCGATCTGCTTTTGATTTCACGAAATCATGTCAAAAGGTATTCTCATAGTAAATTCGTTCATCTTTTGTTCACAATACTGTATGATCACATTACATTCAATGTTGAATGTTTACTACTGAAGGAGATAAAGGAGATCCTTATACATTAACTTCACTCAAATCAATTTAGTGTAAAATATCTTCATATTTATTCAGTAAGTAATCATCTCGAAAACATACTCTATTGTATTATTTTCAAAGCTTCCGACTGGGTAAGGCTAAAATTTTATGCGATGGAAACAGAACAAAATTTCTTCATTATTAATGGTTTATTCTTAACTCATTAAAGTATTTTTATAACTTCAAAGACAATATCATTACAAAACTAGAGGGCTAAGTAACTAAAGTAACTACCTTACACAATTATTATTTACATTTATACAATAAGTACTTACATTCATAGAATACTTTACGTAGTTATAATTAAAGCCAATAAACTAAGAGTATTTTTATAAAATAAATAAATAGTTAGCTTAATTAAATGTTTGACTTTTGAAGAAAAACAATCTTATACAATAATTGTATGTTAAAATGGACAACAAATACAAGAAATACTTTTAATTGATGCTTCGTTACTAATTTCTATAGTTGATTTCTCCAATATATATATTTTCAGAGTTTTTTGGCAATTTCGAATATATTCTTGTATTTAATTAAGAACTTATGATGCTTAGAAATTATGTGATGGAAATCTACTATGTTGTAGAAGCACACATTCACTGCGATAGACTCTTATTAACTTGTGCTTATTTAATATTTACGTATACGTGACTCTGCATTTGCAGCAGGCTGGAACTTCGAAGGGTTTTTGGATGACTACATTTTTCTCGACATCGAACACGTACAAGGTACGTGTAGCTGTAGTAGTAACGCAAGATGAACGCATGCCGAATGCATCACTTACACCCAAGTCTTGGAAACATTGGACATGGCTGTCAGCGTCAATGTGTTTATACCTGTTGAAACAAATAAAAGTAAAATTTAACAAACTGTTGTCAATATTCATTAATATTACCTTAAAGGAATAACTCGCCAGGTTACCAATTTGAGGAAGTACCTAAAATGATTCTGTAACTAAACTATATTCTCATCTCATTCTCTCTAAAATTGTTTTTTTAATCTTTTTGCGGAACTGTCGTATATGTGTTCAGTATAGTTCCCTGATATGTGTTTAGAAATAACAACTAACATAATAAAATATATAATATGGACATAATGAAAACTTATTTAATTTAAATTAAAAATTTTATGACCTAATCTAAAATATTGAAAACATGTATGTCAGAGACATTGAACTGCTAAATATAATTTATCAAACTTATATTGCTAATACGGATCGTTTTTAAAAATAGCTGATCAAATATTGTACTTACGCGCAAACAACGCTCTCGACGTGTTGTTGAAAAAGTTTGGTTTGCACAATGATCTCGGTTTTGGTGTTGTTTTCACCACGGTAATACACATACCACGGTTCAGTCTGAAACAGAAGATGACAAGTTAGATTACGTTATAAATTATGAATTTAAGCAATCGCATCTAAATATATACATAATCATTAAAAAAAAAACTTTATTTCATTTTACTGCGGAGAGGCAAAAAAGTCCACGTAAGTATAACGGATCTACGTCCAGACATCGCCCAGCAGGGATACAAAACTTTCGAATTATTGTAGACTAGTTATTCAAATCCCTAAGATATTATTTACTAAACTAAAATAAAAATAATTACCTTGGTTTCGTACGGGCAATTGTGCCAATCGCTCTTGGGAGATAGCTTTGGTGGCTCTAGGCGAGTTTCTGGTCCATTTCTGTCGGCATAATCCTGTACCACAAAAATTTTTTTTTGAAGTTAGCTTTTAAATAAATTAAAATCATTTCTGTTAATGACATTGCTCAACCTGTTAAAACAACTCTCAACTCTGAACTGTTAAAACACCTTTGCACTGTTATAATAATATACATATATAATTGAAGTATATTTAACGTGTAATCTATGAGATATTAATTAATCTACCACATATTAAAAAAAAGAAACTAGGGCATTGTTTAACAACCATTGTTGGCAACTTTCACAAAGGAGTGACATGAGGTAAGTAACGTTTTACGAACCTTTAAGAGAACCTCCGGCAAAAGACTGTTGATCTTCTCTTCGAGTAGATCATAGCCTTCAGGTCTGGTGGAACAGACACGCTGACCGACACACTCCGGTGGGGTTTTGAGTACCTCCTCAGTATCTGTAAAAAAGAAATTGAGTGAGTCGGTATAAGTCTTTAATTAAAGTAACTTTTTGTATCTACTTTGTAATTTTTATTTATTGAACTTTAATTTTAGGTTTATTTTACTTTATTTTACTTGTTTAAATGTTAGTTACGCGATAATAAGGAACTTACCACTAGTTGGAGCAGCGCAGCTTGTCGCCAAGAAGAGAGTAACCTGTAAAATAAAAAAAATACCTATTTTCAAAATCTAAATTATATTTATTAATAATTTAAAGTTATTTATATTCTACGTTAAGTACGTTTTGCTTATTAAACTTAGAGCTTAAATAGCACACTTGGATAGGCATGTCAACTCTATCACCAAACAACATTTTACACTTATAATAATTAGTCTAAATAATATTTAAATAATATAGGTTATCTATTTGATTATATTTTGTACATTCTAAACGCTGTTAAAAATGTAAACACTCACCATTAAAAAAACACTTTTTAACACTGCCATTATGATTTACTATATTTTCACACAAAATAAAACAACAAACTATTATGATTTGCGTTTGAATTTATTAAATTTTAATTGACAACTTTGGTTTGTGTTGCAGTTAGTGCAGTTAGAGATGTTATTTTTCTTTACTTGACCTTACAACTTTGATGCCAAGTACTGCGGTACACGGCCTTATAAAGAACACATGAACACGTTTTCCTTATAATGACGCGGGAATCCCGTTTGTTGAATTAAGCCGACTATTTTATACGAAACACATTTCTGATATGATGAGTACACATCTCTTTCTACTACGTCACAACACCGTGCGAAAACATGTTTTGAAACATTTATGTTGCATAATTTAAAGTAACCTATTTCTAATACATATTTATTTTGTTTGACTCACCTCTTAAATGTGTTTCCGATATGGTTTATAGCTTTTGTTATCTCTTAAAATAATCTGCGGACCCCTTTTTTTGTTCCTTTTTTTTTTTCCGTGCGGAAATCCCCTCGAATACCACCTATCGGTAGCATGTCGGACTCGAACCGACTAAAACCGCACGCCGTCTCGGGTACTAATAGCCGGGGAACCAGGTATACCCTAGAAAGGAAGTCCCTGGTGCCCCGACATACCTCGGGTCATCTACAGACGAGTAGACGACCCCCCCGTGTGGGAACCCCATGTTCCCTGTGCTCCCTGGAGGCGAGCGCGCTTCTCAACGCGCTCGCCGCCACCCAGGCCTGCTTCTGCTAGGGTGACAGATGGCCTCACCTGTCACCCCCAGGCCTGCGCTTATGGAGGACGGAGGTCGTTCTGCGACCTCCGGCGCCTGAGTCGCCTGCGGTACCTGCCCCGTTCCCGGGCCTGGCGGGCCGGGAGAGTCCTAAACCTCTCCCGGTCCCGCTCCGCCGTCTCCTTGGAACTGGATTATTTGGGTAGAAAGTTCGTTCTAATGGCTACAACAGACTGGTAAATGGATCGGAGGACCTACTAGATAAATGGACGACCTGTTCAAAGTTGCAGGGAGGCGTTAAAGAGTGATGAGACAAGACTTTTATTACTGATGACTATAGGAGCGCCGTTTGTTAAACAATAGCTCATTATTGAGATGTTAACGATCTGAAAATGACAATAGTAATCTCATGTGTTCTTTAACTATAGATATTCATTCCATTCTATTTTTTTCAGAACCTTAATAAAACTAAAAAGTAGACTAATATTTTAAATGTGGACGCCATAATGATCCTGTATTTTAACTAGAGATGTTTAACCGATTGTTCGACCACAAACTAGTATTGGAAATACCTAATCAGATCGTTATCGAACTATTAAGAATAGATCATTATTTACATTGTAGATGAGTACACGTGCAATTTGTATGTAAAGTTGCGATTGGTGACTACGATGCTCTTAATCAGTCAAATATCATATTACAAATGAAATGATGATAAGAAAATTCCCTAGGATAAATAAGTTTAATATCGTTTGCGAGTGCTAATTGGTAAAAATAATGCTATTTCTAATTATCTATCCGTGTGGTGACGGATTAAGAATACGGAGTGTCACCACCCCTACTTATCCCGTGAGTGTCGTAAGAATCGACTAAGGGAGCAAACTACGTACCAACCCGTCTGGCCAGAGTGGTATAGTAGGCCAAAACCTCCATTCTAAGGAGAGGCCAATGTCCAACAGTGGACTGTTAAAGGCTGTTGATGTGATTTTGGTACTCTTTCCATGCTTATTCTGTTGAGCTTCTAAATGACTATAGATAAAATCTGACCATTAGCACCGTCATTAAGCAACTATCAATAAAAATGTCTACAATATTATGTATGTCTTGCAATATTATAAATCTAACGGCTTGGTATTTCACAATTACACATGACTGTCGTAATTTTATTGATATTTACTACTTGTTTTCGTTTCACATAAAGTTAATTAAGATTGCTTAGGACCGATTAGTAGTAGAAGAGCCAGATAATTAGTATAGAAGCAATAGAACAAATCAAGCAGGTTGAGAAGATTTTCCTACGACAAGTTCCTTTAAATGATCGCGACTTACCTACTTAATCTATATAATACTTTGTAAAGAAACATGTGTCTCTTTCAAGACAGTGGCACTAAACATCATGAATCCTACAACTTTTTTTACCAAAATAACTAAGAAAGCATGCGTATGAATTTCCAAGCTTTAGCAAATTCGAAATTTTTGCGACTATTCTTAGTACAAGTAACATTTATTTCTTCCCATTTTATTTTTATTATTTGATTCACCAATAATTAAATACACTAATATAATGACATGAGATACATTCAATAGACTTATAACTTGAGGGCAGCAGTATATAATAAAATCAATAAACGAATCAATGAGACATGATCAAAAATGACACAATAATACATTGCGTAACTTTATGAACTATTTAATGTAATTTCTCAATAAATACTTATTTAATAGTAAATACTTACTAAATATGGCATTAGTTTTAAAATAATATTATGAAATTGTATTGCATTTTTATAGGCTTTAGGAACATGGGTTATGTCTTTTAAGATCACTGGATCTCATGTCATATTAATAACATGGATCTTAATGTCCCATACTGATGTGATATTATGTTCCATGTTGTTTAAATTACATAATATAACTTATATTAATACTCGTACATGTAACTCTTAAGTAGTAGGTGTCATTGAGCGTCGGTAATCGCTTACTATCAGGTGACCCAAATGCATCAGCTATTAAAATAAAAGGTAAAAAAAAGTATATTTTTATTCCTTATAGACAGACATTTTATTAGTATATTTGTAAGTTATAACCTCATTAAAATCATACATTTTAATTACAATATTTACAATATACTCTTACGTAACATATTTATAAGAACTAATAGTATAGGTATTGACACCAATGCACAGCTAGAATAAGAAGAATCTGAAATACAACAAGTTAACTCCAATTGAACTGCACTGCGCTTATAAGTTAGTGTGTTATCTTGATCTTTGAATGAATGGGTCACAGGGCGATATAAGTTAGCGTTTTACGTTATTACGTACGCATTACGATTGTGGTTTACCGGTTGTTGATCGGTATGTACTACTTTCGGCTTATATACGTATATGATGGTTTACTACGACACTGGGATTTACATTACATAACACTTTGATATTATGTAACATTAAATTACTGTACACATTGTTCGTAAATAAATGTTCCATTCCAATGCATATTTAATCCACCAACTTTATTTCAGCAGAACTAAATAATAATAAAATATTCTTATGATATGTCAATAAAGTAAAAAAAAGAAAGAAAAAAGAGTTTTTACTACGGGTTAACGGATACTGCTAAACATTCATTTGTTTGTTTTTGGAAATACATCCGTATAAATGTATTGATTAATTTAAATGTATTGATTGATTAAATTAATCTATTCGTACACATAAATATAACTGTATTATATATATAATTATATAATATTAACAAAACAAAACTGTTTATAAAGGTTGAAATAATGAATATTATTTGAGTGTTATGCGGCATTTAAGAGAGCAAATTCGACGAAAAAGGCCCGATTTGTGGAAAGAACATTCTTGGATTTTGCACCACGATAATGCGCCTTCGCACAAGGCCATCATTGTGAACGAATTTTTGACCAAACACTCAACAAATACCAACCACCATATTCACCAGATATTGCTCCAGCCGACTTTTTTTTCCTAAACTCAAATTACCACTTCGTGACACCCGTTTTCAATCGGTAGAAGACACAAAGGAGAATTCGCGGTGAGAACTGCAAACTCAATTACGGAAACAGCGTTTAAATAATGTTTTGATGATTGGATTATTCGTGGATTATTCGTAAAACGATACACTTACGCCAGTAAGTGTATCGTTTCTGAAGGAGCATACTTTGAAGGTGATAAAATAAATTTGGATGAATAACAAACATTTTGTGTATTATTGATCTTTTCCCGGTACTTTCTTGACAGAGTAGTATGTTGATAATTTATAAAAGGAAATCCTATATAAGTGGGATGGGATTATGTCATTAAAAATGATATCGGACAGTAACAAAAAATGTAAAATACGGTATAGTTATAAAAACTGCAACTAATGTAAGACAATTATTAGAAATATATTATTATTAAATAGTACTCATTTAAATTTTATTTAACCACATCGCGTGACGTCATTAGCAGGAAACCTCGAATTAAACAACATTACCGCCCGTGATTAATAAAAGTAAATTAAAAAGTTTAGAATTGATTGACAATATTCAGTTTAAAAATTGTCTCGATTGCTTTTTGCGATATTTATTATTCACCACGCAATCATGATATACGGAAGATGACTGTCGAAACTTTCCAAGAGGCGGTATTTCATGCTCTTTGCATAATATATTAAAGTATAGATATTTGGAGCATTGAGTCATATCAACATATATTTTTGTTGTAAAACAAACTTAACTTAAATTAACTTTCATTTTTATTTTTATTTATTTATTCATTTTTAAGGGGATCCCCTAGCGCCCTTAGCTGACCGCAATAATGTGATGAATTCCCAGAGATATATTAAAGGGGCAAACCGGAATGTGTCTTTGCACTTATTAGCTGACGTCAAATTGAGTTTTGTACCATATTTATGTTTACTAAAGAAGTTTTTACCCTTTATCCTTCGGGATTTTTTACTTAATGCTAAGTGCATTGTTTTAAGCTTTATTTTTAAATCAAAATCATAAATCAAAATATGCCTAATCGATTGTGCTTTTTTTCCATTTTTTTATAAATCATATAATAAAATTATTTGAATTGTAATCTAGTTACTATTATATTTTGGGACCGAACCCTGGGTCGAAATTATTTAATTTAATTTAGAACTTTTAATTTATCCATCAAGAATCCTTTTATATAGGTACTGTTATATCGTGAGCCGTGTCCCTATTTAAATCAACTCATCTGTTTATTTGGGGGTCGATTTAGATTTCCTCACTCAGCAGCATGTATAGCCGTA